TTTGTAGGGGGATAAATGGTACAATTACGCCTGTCTGAACCACGTGCTGGATGTATCGTGTTTGTAGGGGGATAAATGGTACAATTACGCCTGTCTACATAAGAACATAAGAACGGCTGTACCGGGTCAGACCAAAGGTCCATCCAGCCCAGTATCCTGTCTACCGACAGTGGCCAATGCCAGGTGCCCCAGAGGGAGTGGACCAACAGGCAATGATCAAGTGATCTCTCTCCTGCCATCCATCTCCATCCTCTGACAAACAGAGGCTTGGGACACCATTCCTTACCCATCCTGGCTAATAGCCATTAATGGACTTAACCACCATGAATTTATCCAGTTCTCTTTTAAACGCTGTTATAGTCCTAGTCTTCACAACCTCCTCAGGCAAGGAGTTCCACAAGTTGACTGTGCACTGCGTGAAGAAGAACTTCCTTGTATTTGTTTTAAACCTGCTGCCTATTAATTTCATTTGGTGACCCCTAGTTCTTGTATTATGGGAATAAGTAAATAACTTTTCCTTATCCACTTTCTCCACATCACTCATGATTTTATATACCTCTATCATATCCCCCCTTAGTCTCCTCTTTTCCAAGCTGAAGAGTCCTAGCCTCTTTAATTTCTCCTCAAATGGGACCCGTTCCAAACCCTTAATCATTTTAGTTGTCCTTTTCTGAACCTTTTCTAGTGCCAGTATATCTTTTTGGAGATGAGGAGACCACATCTGTACGCAGTATTCGAGATGTGGGCGTACCATCGATTTATATAAGGGCAATAAGATATTCTCAGTCTTCTTCTCTATCTCCTTTTTAATGATTTCTAACATCCTGTTTGCTTTTTTGACCGCCTCTGCACACTGCGTGGACATTTTCAGAGAACTATCCACGATGACTCCAAGATCTTTTTCCTGACTTGTTGTAGCTAAATTAGCCCCCATCATATTGTACGTATAGTTGGGGTTATTTTTTTCCAATGTGCATTACTTTACATTTATCCACATTAAATTTCATTTGCCATTTTGTTGCCCAATCACTTGGTTTTGTGAGATCTTTTTGAAGTTCATCACAGTCTGCTTTGGTCTTAACTATCTTGAGCAGTTTAGTATCATCTGCAAACTTTGCCACCTCACTGTTTACCCCTTTCTCCAGATCATTTATAAATAAGTTGAATAGGATTGGTCTGAGGACTGACCCTTGGGGAACACCACTAGTTACCCCTCTCCATTCTGAGAATTTACCATTAATTCCTACCCTTTGTTCCCTGTCTTTTAACCAGTTCTCAATCCATGAAAGGACCTTCTCTTTTATCCCTTGACAACTTAATTTACGTAAGAGCCTTTGGTGAGGGACCTTGTCAAAGACTTTCTGGAAATCTAGGTACACTATGTCCACTGGATCCCCCTTGTCCACATGTTTCTTGACCCCTTCAAAGAACTCTAATAGATTAGTAAGACACGATTTCCCTTTACAGAAACCATGTTGACTATTGCTCAACAGTTTATGTTTTTCTATGTGTCGGATAATTTTATTCTTAACTATTGTTTCGACTAATTTGCCCGGTACCAACGTTAGACTTACCGGTCTGTAATTGCCGGGATCACCTCTAGAGCCCTTTTTAAATATTGGCGTTACATTCGCTATCTTCCAGTCATTGGGTACAGAAGCCGATTTAAAGGACAGGTTACAAACCATAGTTAATAGTTCCGCAACTTCACATTTGAGTTCTTTCAGAACTCTTGGGTCAATGCCATCTGGTCCCGGTGACTTGTTACTGTGAAGTTTATCAATTAATTCCAAAACCTCCTCTAGTGACACTTCAATCTGGGACAGTCCCTCAGATTTGTCACCTACAAAAGCCGGCTCAGGTTTGGGAATCTCCCTCACATCCTCAGCCGGGAAGACTGAAGCAAAGAATCCATTTAGTTTCTCCGCAATGACTTTATCGTCTTTAAGTGCTCCTTTTGTATCTCGATCGTCCAGGGGCCCCACTGGTTGTTTAGCAGCTTCCTGCTTCTGATGTACTTAAAAAACATTTTGTTGTTACCTTTGGAGTTTTTGGCTAGCCGGTCTTCAAACTCCTCTTTGGCTTTTCTTATTACATTCTTGCACTTAATCTGGCAGCGTTTATGCTCCTTTCTATTTGCCTCACTAGGATTTGACTTCCACTTTTTAAAGGAAGTCTTTTTATCTCTCACTGCTTCTTTTACATGGTGGTTAAGCCACAGTGGCTCTTTTTTAGTTCTTTTACTGTGTTTCTTAATTTGGGGGATACATTGAAGTTGAGCCTCTATTATGGTGCCTTTAAAAAGTGCCCATGCAGCTTGCAGGGATTTCACTTTAGTCACTGTACCTTTTAACTTCTGTTTAACTAACCCCCTCATTTTTGCATAGTTCCCCTTTTGAAATTAAATGCCACAGTGTTGGGCTGTTGAGATGTTCTTCCCACCACAGGGATGTTGAATGCTATTGTATTGTGGTCACTATTTCCAAGCGGTCCTGTTATAGTTACCTCTTGGACCAGCTCCTGCGCTCCACTCAGGACTAAATCGAGAGTTGCCTCTCCCCTTGTGGGTTCCCGTACCAGCTGCTCCATGAACAGTCATTTAAAGTATCGAGAAATTTTATCTCTGCATTTCGTCCTGAAGTGAAATGTTCCCAGTCAATATGGGGGTAATTGAAATCCCCCACTATTATTGGGTTCTTAATTTTGATAGCCTCTCTAATTTCCCTTAGCATTTCATCATCACTATCACTGTCCTGGCCAGGTGATCTATAATAGATCCCTAATGTTATATTCTTATTAGAGCATGAACCACGTGCGGGATGTATCGTGTTTGTAGGGGGATAAATGGTACAATTACGCCTGTCTATACAATGTGGGGGATGTAGCGTGTTTATAGCGGAATAAACGGTACAATACACCTGTCTGAACCACGTCCGGGATGTATTGTGTTTGTAGGGGATTAAACAGTACAATTACGCCTGTCTGAACCACGTGCAGGATGTATTGTGTTTGTAGGGGATTAAACGGTACAATTACGCCTGTCTTATTACTTATGTGTTATTTGATAGAAAAGCTGCCCCGGCCGGTGAAGGAGAGAAGATTTCGTGCTCCGCAGGGCCGGGAAAGGTACGCAGGGAGTCAGCCAAGCTGGGACCGATCGTTTAGCGCGAGCAGATCGCGTAAGAGCATTCGAAGTGGGAGAAATCCTCTTTCTGGGTCCGTTTGCAGAGGAAATCCCATCAGGAGTGAGGGGTGTTTGGGGCACAGATTGCATCTTTGGGGGTACAGGATCTGGGATGGGGCTGGCCCAGCCCAGAGGAGCGTGCGTGGGTGGCTGAAAGGCCAGGGGTGTCAGGGCGCTGGCGCCCAGCTACGGGGATGAGCAGGCGACTGCCAGGCCTGGGACCCCGAGAAGTGTTACACCCACCTTCACCCCGTATTCCCAAATCATGCGCCAGAAATCCAGGACGGTGTGAGGCAGCGGCCCCTGGGTCGCGATGTAGCATCTCTTGTTATTTACCCCCTGGCGGGAGACGAAGGGGGGAAATAAGTCACCCACCCCTGCAGCACAGCATCCCCTGCTGAGCCCCCGCTCACCCCCTGCAGCCCTGCGCCCCCCGCTGAGCCCCCCCATCCGTCCCCTGCAGCCTGGTGTCCCCTGCTGAGCCCCCCATCCATCCCCTGCAACCCGGAGCCTCCCACTGAACCCCCCACACCCCTGCAGCCCAGCGCCCCCCGCTGAGCCCCCCATCCGCCCCCTACTGAGCCCACCCGCCCCCTGCAGCACAGCGCCCCCTAGTGCTGCACTGGATTGGCAGGGCCAGTGCTGGTGCGAGGGCAGAGCGCCCCCTGCTGCGGAGGGAGGGAGTTACCTGGATGAAACTGGCATTGATATAGTCCGTCTGCCCTTCGTCCGTGCAGAGATTCAGAATGACCCGGGTCTGATCATCTGCCGGGGAGAGAGGGAGGGATTGACAAATTCAGACTGGGAATAAGGCACCAATTGTGACCGATGAGACGAATTACCCACGGGGCCAGTTCCCCAAGGGGCGCAGCAGCGTCTCCGTCTCTGGCGGTTTTTAAAACAAGCTGGGCTGTTCTTCTAAAAGTTCTGTCGCAGGAATTATTTTGGGGCCATTCTCTGGCCTGTGGGATATAGGGGGTGAGACGAGACGCTCACAATGGTCCCTTCTGGCCTGGGAATCTGTGAATCTATGAAACCCGGCCCTGAGATGTGGCCACCTCTGGGGTGGGGCAGCCGGGGGAAACAGCCGCACATAACGCTGCCCGGAAATGGCTCGCCTGGAGCTGAGATGCAGCCAGCTCTGAGGCAAGGCAGCTGGAGAACAGCTGTATATAACATCACAAGGGACAGCTCCTCTGGTGCTGAGATGCAGCCAGCTCTGGGGTGGGGCAGCTGGGGGAACAGCTGCACATAACGCTGCACATTTCAGTGCCAGCAACCCCCTCCCACACTCACATGGCAGGATGTCTTTATACCGATTCTTCTTGATATTCTCTTTCCTGCCCCCAGCCTCCGCGGAGAACCCCTGTTGCTGCCGGAAGGCGCTGGCTTGGGCCTTGATGTCCTGGAGGAGAGAGAGGACAGGAGGGGGATTAGGAGGCCGTGGAGAAGACGGGGTTAAACAGGGAGACTGAGCGAGCACCCCAGCAGCCGATAGCTCTGTGATTCCCACAGCTAATGCCCTGGCTCCTTAATACTCAAGTATATGGCACCCCGTTCCCTGTGACCGCAGCCCCTTTTCCCAACTCAGACTTCCCAGCACCCCCAAACGCCAAGGCTAAGACTAGCCCGGCACTGAGATGCAGCCACCTCTGGGGCGGGGCAGCTGGAGAAACAGCCGCACATAACGCGGCACAGAGACAGCTCGCAGGAGGATGATCATTCCTGAGCAGTGGAGTCAGGTTTACTTTGGGAGCAGGCTGGTTCTGACCTCGCCAGTAGCGGACCAGCCGGTCCTGCCAGCTCTGGGCCCCAGCGTGAGCACACCCACGCCCATCCTGGAACAGGCAGGAGAAAAAAAACCCCACCCCTGCCATGGAACTACCCTCCAGGGAGAGTTAATCTGTGCAGGAGTTGCTTCCAGAATGAGAGCCAGGACTCCTGGGTTCTCTCCCCGGCTCTGGGAGGGGA